AAGACTGGAATTTTGAAGGGATGTTTCCTGACAGTCCTGGCGGCCAGTCTGAAATTCTTTTAGCTACAAGCATCTGCCGAAAAAACCAGTGCCGTTAGCGACAAAAATTTTGTGGGGAGCTATGCAAAAAACGCATCTTTGCACGGGCAGCCCGTGTGTTGTCCAATTATTATCTTTTTCTCGCGCTTGTAGAATCTTGTACAGCAACGTGGGTTTTTCAGCTGAGTCAGCCGATGCTAATTGCATCATACGTTGAGCAAATTTGGCATGATGCTGTCGATGAAAGTGACAGTATGTTCCATCGAAAACCCCATCTGACACATGCACTGTGGCTGAATTGTGGTGCGAAAGGAATGAAGGTTTTTGATTTGAACAAATTTTTCCTATGATATTTTTATCTTATGGCAATGGTTTCATGTCTCGAAAAGTTTCGTTTTTGTCTGATTTTGCACTAGTTTCCGCATTTTTTTTGCATTTTTTTAATCTAATCCGCGTAATTTTGTTACTTTTCTTGGTCTTGGAACGCTCAAAAGATTTTTTAAATTTTCTTTTTTTCTTAATATTTTTTTTTCAACTGAATTACTGTGTTGTTGCTAAGCTTAACTCACTCTTTTGCAGGTATGGATGCCACTGTTTGCAGCGCGACGTCGAAGCATCACAAACTATGATTCGAATCATTCATTTATCAGCAAACGAATTATGTTGCCATTCGAATTGGATATTGCACCGCTTGGTTCGTTTTTATGGGTTTTTTACATCTTTTTCCACCTGCGTCTATGCAATGCAGAAAACGGATATTGACTCGCGGGTGGCGAGAGTCTGCGTGTGTGTGTGTGTGTGTGTTCGTCTGTACCGATTTTTCATATCGGAACCTACAGGGTTGAAACTTTGGGATCTTATTCTGCGTGCATGTGCGGCCCCACTGCCCAAAACGGGCCCCCTTACCTGCGTGGTACACACGTACGGCCCCGCCAAAGTTTTTGACAGGCAAGCTGCTAACTCGGGGACCTGAGAACCTAGAAGACTAAAATTTTAAGAGGATGTTCCCCCATCCACGTAGGCATTAATAAGTTTAAACTAGCGCCCGGGTATGCATAGTTTCTATGTACGGGCCCGTGAATTTTTTTGCGGGAAAGTTGCTAATTCTGGAATCAGGAAAGCTTGAAAGTCGAAATTTTAAGGGGATGTTTCCTGACAGTCTTGGCGCCCAGTCTCAATTCTTTTAGCTAGAAGCATCTGCTGAAAAACGTTAACG